CCAGAAGTCAGATTTTTCAGTTACATGGGGAGATATTGATCAAAGGGTGCAAAGTATCAGTTATATAATGAAAAGATTCTAGTGTCTGCTGTGCACTGGCTGCCCTGCTCACCTGTGTGCGGCCTTTCAGATGCTGAAGAGATTTGGCCACTTGCCTTTGGCAGTGTCCTGGCATTGGTGAGCCACTGCAGATGAAGCTATTTCCTGGGTCTAGCCCAGCAGGCCAGCTCACGGTTCCAGGAGATCATCTGTCCGACTGGCTAACTTGACCTTTCCCTTATCACTTTTACGATCTGAGTGACATTTACAAGAATCACCAGAATTTCTTTTAAACTAACCTGGGAAGAATTAGGTGGAACTTCGTAGAGCCTTTTCCTCACCACCCCTCTCTGTGTCCTTCCCTCGTGCCCAGCCTCTCACCCTAGGTGGCACTAGAGCCAACCCTGCGGCCCAGTAAGCTGTGGCCAGCGTATCTCCTCAAGGTGGGGAAAGGGAAATAGGCTCGCGCTTCGCTGGTGGTTTCCCCAGTGCTGTCCTCTAACTTCTCTTTCCGCCTCCAGTCCTCTTCAGCAAGGCCCCCCGCTGGACCTCCTCTGAGCTTTAATGTGAGGGGAGAAGTCTTTCCTAGGTCTTTCTCCTGCTGGTCTTGGTGCTGTAGAATATATTACACGTTATTCTCATCTGTGAGTTGTTTCTGTGGAAAAGACTCATAGAATTGGGACCTGCCCTCAGAAATGAAGATATAAAATTAACTGGCTGTGTGATAGGCGTTGTGGAGTACGCTGCATGTCCATGATCTCTCTTGCTTCCTGACCAGTATTCCAGAGTGAAGCCCATAGTGACGCCACGTTTTTCCCTGTCCTGCTCTGAGACTTTGATGGGTGAACTTGGCAGCATCGCTAAGGCCCACGAGTTGCATATTCAGGTAAGTATTTTTTTTCTCATTGTGCCTCTGTCCAGACCTGAAAGATTTCCCAGTGCCCAAAATCATGATCTTGTTCTGCTGAAATCTCTTAGAGTCAAAGCATTACAGGCAGAAAGTGCTTTTAACGGTTGTCAATCTAGTTCTTTAACTTTGCTGGTAAGAAAACTGAAATTCCTTTTGTCCTCAGTGTTCTCTAGTCAGTTCTCAAGAGATGAGAACGTTTTTATTATGAATAGCAAGATCAGCGATGGACTGTTGATCTGTTCTCTTGGAATACAGTACATGCATTTCTTTCCTGCTTCTCTTTTATTTGATAACTTCTCCATATTCTATATCCTCATTCTTGGGGGAACCAGCTTCCAAAAAACAAAAAGAACCTAATTTCCACCTTACAAAAATGCACTGAAA